CTGTGTTTGCTCTCATAACATGCCCAAAATATTTTAATTGTTGGAGATGGACTTTACTAGAGAGTCGTTGGCTAACTTTTAGCTCTCTTAAAATTGAATTATTTGTTCTGCGGTCGGTCCAAGGAATTCGTAACATTCGTCTCCAACAGAACATTTCAGTGGCGTCTATCTTTTTTCTCTCCGATTGTCTCAGAGCCCAAGATTCACATCCGTAGATCAGTATTGGGAATATTAAGCAGTTGATCAACCTCATCTTTATCGCTCTTGAAATTTGACAGTCCTTCCATATTTTGGTCATTTTTGCTGTGGCAACTTTTGCTAGATCACATCTACGTTTAATCTCTTCGTGTAATGACTCTGTGTTTGTGATTAATGATCCTAGATATAAGTATGAGCTCACAACCTCGAACCGGTCAATTGTGGTTATGTGTGGATGATTGTTGTGTAGTCTATCCACTATCATGATCTTTGTCTTTGATATGTTTTATCTCTACTGACTACAACATATAAAATTTTAAAGCCCTCATCAAACAAAAACTCACTCAATTCGCAGAGAAAAAAAATTGGGAACTACCAGCAAGGATTCAGAGAAGGCAGATCCACTACAGATGTGATCCACATAGTTACACAATCAATAGACAAATGCCACGAACATAACATAGAATTCCACAGCCTCTTCGTAGACTTCAGACAAGCGTTTGACAGGAGCGATTAATTACAGGGACCCGATCCGTCAACTGCGCATGTGCGAAACGAGTAACGACTGCATTCGAAATATTTTGAACCTTCAAATGAAAATTTTAGGCGGTATCTTGCATTGTCAAATAAAAATTGTTTTGAATAGTTCCCTATTTACGTAATTAGTAAATATATCAGTAAACTGTTTTGAATGTGGTAAAATTTTCTCAAATCAGTCTAAGCTTTCTACGCCGATGCAATGTGGAGAAAATGTGCATTTAAATAAGTGTCTGGAAGATTTCCAGTAGCTTTTTTCAAGCCGAAAGGACTTCTACATTAATGAAGTTTATTTTACAGAAATTATGAAAGTTGTTGGAAAAATACAAACACTCTGTTTTATGATCGCCATTACTTCAGTTTTTTATGGAAGAGTATTGAAGAATTAAACTATTTTAAAAACGTTTTAGAACGAGACAACTTTTGAAAACATCCACCTGAAGACAACGATTTTGCCAACCCATACAAGATTAACCCATTAATCGTAATATGTCATTTAAAGTTAGTTCATTAATACTTTGTTTACTTTCAAAAACAATAAATAAATTTAAGTTTATAATAATACTTATATAATAATTTATTATAATCCTTATCTTCACTCATAAACATGTATTAGGTACGTTATTTTAGTTATGAATGTAACAATTATGTACCTGTAGAAAGAAATATTGTAAAATTTCCTATTTTTATTCCTAATCGTTTTTATAAACTTGCTCAGATTTTTTTAAGTTGGAGATTGTCCCTCGTTGTCACTTTTGATGTCATTTCAAAGATTGCACATGCGCAGTTGACGGATCGGGTCCCTGTAATTAATCGCTCCTGCGTTTGACTATATTATAGTAGTATATAGTAGTATAGGAAGTAATAAATTATTTATTGAAATGAAAAATCAAGATATGCCAGCAAAATTAATCACATTAACAAAAATGACCAATAATGGAGCTCGAGCTAAAGTAACAATAAAAGAAGGTAGCACAAAAGCAATTGCAATAGAAACAGGAGTGCGACAAGGCGATCCCCTGTCAACCACAATATTCAACATAGCAGTAGAAGGAACAGTCAAGGCCAGCAAAATTAAAGGAACTATAGCCCACTCCTCAACACAAATAGTGGCAAATGCAGATGATTTAGTTCTTATGGGTAGAGACAAGGAAATATTAAAAGAAGCAGTAATAATCCTGGCAAAAGAAGCACGGAAAAGAGGTCTAGAAATTAACGAAGAACAAACAAAATATCTACTCTGCTCTAAAAGAGCAGATAACAGGACGAGAGAAATCAAAATAGAAAACTACACTTTTGAAAGAGTCTAACAATTTAAATATTTGGGAGTAATAGTAATGGCCAAAACAAGAGAAGTGAAAAGTAACAGAACGAATACTAGCAGGCAACAAAACATACTGGAGATGTCATAGGCTTATGAAGGACAAAACTTATCCAGAAATACAAAAATGAAAATATACAGAGTTGCAATCAGACCAGTAGTTAAGTACGCAGCTGAGACAATGTGCCTCACACAAAAAGATGAAGAACAATTGAGAATTTTCGAAAGGAAAATCCTCAGACGAATTATGGGCCCGATAAGAATGGAAGACGGAGAAATGAACGGAGAAACGTAGAGAAAAAGAATGAACCATGAACTAAGAGACATAATGAAGGGAGAAGATATAGTTAGATTTATTAAATCACAGAGGCTGAGATAGCTGGGACACATAGAGAGAAGGAAAAACGACCTACTGATTAAGAAGATCACCAGATGGAAACCAGCAGCTGAAAGACCAAGGGGAAGACCCAGAGAGAGATGGGAGGACCAGATCATGAGAGATATCAAGATTCTGGAAGTGAGAAACTGGGGGGAACTATGCACATATCGAAATGAATGGAAGAAAATTGTAACGAAAGCCAAGTCATACAACAAACTTTGATAACAAGTAAGAGCGACAAACATTCCACCCGCAATGAAAAGCCTTAATGATGATGATGACGTCCGGGTACCTTCGTATCACGCGTTACTAGGCCTCTTTCTTCTTCTTCTAGTTCCATGAGAGAGTAAAATGGGTCGTGATGGCCGCCAATGTTAATAAAGGTTAAGGCACATAAAGAAGAAGACAGTTATTTTTTAAAAATCATTTGCCACCCTGATGATATCGTCTCCTAGGGTGTAAACTCCTACATATTTAAATTTAAAGGTTGGTTTCTATAGATATCATCAATAATTCCGTTAACATTTTACCATTTATTTATTTCAGTTTTGGAGTACAATAGGAGAGATAAAATTAAAATCTTGTCTATATGGCATTAATCTATTTTATACCTGGGTGAAACTATTTCGGTATGGTCAGGAGCTATAGTGAATAGGCCAATTTTTGAACCTTTTTTTTTTAAATATGTCCTTCACTTTCAACAAAAACTTAATAAAAAATGTTTTATTTCAAATAATATTAAATGATCGTATAAAAATTTAGTGAGAATAAATTGATTAACTACCTACCTGCTTTTGTTCATGGTCTGATACTTTTTCAATGCCGTCGAGTAATCTTATTTCTGGGTGGTCTTTAATCTGGTCATTCGACGATATTATCTTTGATCCAAGCTATATAATATGTCAATAGTAAACAATCGAATTGATTTCAATTTGTTTAATAGTTGGTTTCAATTTTTATATAGTTTTATGACATTGTTGAAACTATAGAGATATCTATTATTTCTGTTCAAACTTGGAAACGTGGAAAAAATAAAACAAACTAACAAACATTACTAATATTTGCTTGTATTCCTATATGTATGAGCTGGGCCTAATTTTTGTTGTCCACTTACTCCAAAAATAAACATCCTTAAAAATACATCACTCTGTTGACGTGGTTTTAGCCATATTTAAATTTTTTTTGAACCTATTCTCTATCCTTGCATTGTTGGATATAGGTCTCCCCCAGTTCTCTCCATCTTTCCCTATCTTGAGCTGTTCTCTGCCATGTGGGACCTCCTTGTTTCCTGATGTCATCTTTCCACCTCATCTGTGATCTGCCTCTTGATCTCTTTGCATTGTATGGACGCCACTTTCCGATGGCATTGTTCCATCTTGGAGACGTTCATTGTGTCCAGCCCATTTCCATTTCAGTTTTGCTGCCTGTTCTATCGCGTCTACTGTCTTTGTTCTGGTTCTGATCCACTGGTTACGTTTTCTATCTCTAAGTGAGACACCCAACATTTGTCTCTCCATCGCTCTTTGTGCCTTCCTTATCCTATCCAAATTGGCATGTGTAAATGTCCATGTCTGTGCTCCGTAGGTGAGCACCGGTATTATACAGGAGTTATATACCTTGCTTCGTAAGTATAGAGTGATTGTTTGATTTTTAGAACGTAAGACAGTTTGCCGAACGCTGCCCATCCCATTCTTACTCGTCTCGATATTTCGGCTGTTTGATTTTCTCTGTTAGCTCTGATTGCTTGTCCTAGATAGATATACTCATTTACCTGTTCTATTTTTTCTGTTTTTATTTTTATTGCCTCTTGATCTTCCGTGTTTGTCATTACTTTTGTTTTGTTGAAGTTAATTTTTAGGCCTTTTTGCAGTGATTTTTCATGAAGTTCATTCAGCATTTCCCAATCTGTTGATTTTATTATGTCTTCGAGGGTCAAGGTAAACAGTTTAGGTGAAATTATATCGCCTTGTCGGACTCCTCGTTTAACTTTTATATTATCCGTTATTAATTTGTCGTCCAGAATTACGGTCATGGTTGCGTTTTGGTAAATATCATGTATCAATTGTCGGTATCTTGAATATATTCTACTATTGACCAGAGCTTCTTCAACCGCCCAGTGTTCAATGCTGTCGAAAGTCTTTTCATAATCTACGAATGCTAAGTACAGCGGAAGGTTGTATTTATTGGTTTTCTCAATTAAGATTTTAAGCGCATGTAGATGGTCGATTGTACTGTATCCTTTCCTGAATCAGGCCTGTTCCACTGGTTGGTAGTTATCAAGTTTATAGGTTAGTCGGTTGTTTATTATTCTTGTGAAGGCTTTATATAGTTGTGACAAAAGGGAAATAGGACGGTAGTTGTTTAGGTCTGTTCGGTCTCCTTTCTTATGTATTAAGATTGTGTTGGCATTTCTCCATTGTTTAGGTATTTTACCTTCAAACAGACATTTGTTGAACAGTATTTTTAGCATTTTTTTTTAATTACTAAATGTCAATTTAGAGATTAAAATAAATATTATATTATTCGTCACTTATTATAGCTAATAAATAAATTCTTCATCATCATCAATCGCGCTGCAACTCTTTGTGAGTCTTTGCCACGTTTACTATTGCCTTCCATGTTTGTCGGTCCTGTGCCAATAGGACTTTCCACCTTTTTCTAGGTCACCCTACAGACCTTCTTTCATCTGGCCTTTCACAGAACACATTGTTTATAAGGCGATAGTCATTACTGCGTATCACGTGCCCTGTCCATCTAAATCTATTGGCCTTTATATATCTGTCTAGATTCTCTAGTTCGAATAGAGACTCTAGCTCGTTATTGTATCTGCCTCTCCATTCGTTTGTCACGCTGTCTCTGTAAGGGCCATATATCATTCGAAGAATTTTGCGTTCCCACACCAGCAATTTATTTACTTTTCTTTTTGTTAGCGTCCATGTTTCGCTTCCATACGCGACTGCTGGTCGTATTATGGTCTTATATATCCGGATTTGTGTACCTCGTGAAAGAAGTTTTGACTTCATTAGATGTTGCATTGCAAAGAAAGATCTGTTTCCTGCCATTATTCTCATTTCAACTTCTCGCTCTAATTTGTTGTCATTTGTGATTGTTGGTCCTAGATATTTGAACTCTTTAACCACTTCGAAGTTGTGATCATTTATAGTAATGTTTTGCCTTATTCGCCGTCGTTCTTGTTTTGAGACGGCCATGTATTTTGTTTTGTCTTCATTTATTTTTAGACCGATGTTTAATGCAGCTTCTTCAAAGCTCGAGAAAATATCCTTAATTTCTAATGTTGATTGTGCTACTGCGTCTACGTCATAGCCAAAGGCGAGTATGATTTTTGCTTCCCGAGCAGTTATGTCTAATTTGATTTTTGGATATATTTTTCACATGCCAGGTTAAACAACAATAGGAAAAACGGATCTCCCTGTCTCAGTCCAGAATTTACGCAGAAAGTATTTGATATTTTCCCCCCTTACACACTGTTAGTTTCCGTCTGCGTGAAGATACTGCCAAATGCGAAAAACAAACATCTATAATAATATAACCATTTTTTTTAAGTAAAGTACGTATTCTTCATTTATTTTGAGTGTTATTTAGATTATACCTAGGGATGTTTTAGCGCTTCTTACATAATATAATTTCTGTCTTATGTGAAAGCATTGTTTACTTTTTGTTGAATTGTTATATTTAATGTATAGTAACCCATTATATTCTACGGGAGAATTGTTGTTATGTTTAAACTCATTATTCTCGATAACTCGGCATCTTCACTAACTTAGCCGCCTTCGGCTCCACATTAGACCGGGTTTGTGAGAATGCTCTATTCAATATTAGTTTCCATTAGCATTTTGCAGTATTCCCGGTTTTCTTTTTCCATTGCTATGAGTTAATTCTTTAATAATCTTTCCGTATTTGTTAAAACTGTTATGTTTTTGTACCTCTGTACATTTTTCTCTTAACCATTCTTCTTTCGCAAGTTTAATTTTTGCATTATTTATTTATTCAGCTTTCTGTACGCCTTATTATCTTTGTTTTTGAGTTTTTTTCCAATAAATCTACGTTTTCCTGCATTATACATTTTCTTTGTCTCTAAATGCTGTCAAAACTCCTTTTTAACTTTTATCTATTTATTTCTTTATTACGAAACATTTTCATCTAGTGTTTTGGAGAATGTATTTTCAACATTAATTAATCGATTATTGATTTCATCTACCAGCCTTTATTTTACTCCTGGTAAAATTGAGTAAATCGAGTGATTTCCTCAATTTACTCTTATCGATTTGTTCATTTTCTTCATTTTATTATATTCATTTTGGGCCTAATTTTGGTCACTACTGGGAGATGTACCACAGTTTATAAATCAAAGCAAGTTATTCGTATAGAACTTAGAACGGGCCTGTATATACCTACGTATGCACAATCCAGTCGAGTTTGTTTCAAGAAGGTGAGTATGCATCTACCTACCTGTTAAATTAAGAAAAGAAAAGATCATTGATTCCCTTGACCTTCAGGTAAATACCTGAGCTCGTATCTAGTGAAAGAATTCAGAGAAGTGCTGAAGGAACGTTAGCAGAGTAAGAGAATGTACATTATATAAAACAAGTTGTCTTGTTTAGATTATTTTCATTTGACAATTGGTAAAATTAATTAAAACATTATCAGTAACACGCAAGTTCAACTATGTATTTCTAGTGTATATTTTTTCAAATAAATATTTTTTCTCTTACAGAAACTTGAAGCTTTTTACTAGAGCATCTGAAACTTGAAACTATAATATGACAGCCGCTTTGATTACAGGATCCTTTAATAAAGCAAAAAATACTTTAGGCCTAAAAGAGAGTTATTGCTAACATGTTAAACAAATCCTTTATTTTGACAAATAACTTTAAATACAGAGTGGCCCAAAAGTCTGGAAACGGCTAATTATCTCGTAAATTACTAGACATAATTATACAAAATTTGAGATACGCCTATTTTGGGATACGGAGATTCCATATTTGGTATTTGCAATGTTGCCAGATTTTCAGTTTCTGTTATATTACTAGTAACTTTGGGTTTTCAAATGCAGCACCTTGTATATTCAGTCATTATTGGAATCTCCTATTAAATACGAGTTCAACCATATGTAACACTTATGATTTTATGTAGTCTGGAAGATCTTAAATACATAAAACAGAAGTCTGGCAATGCCTAAATTGTTTCAATACATTTTTTAATACTAACTATTTTCAAATACATTAAAACGTAACAATTGATAGTTTAGAATATTACGTTACGTTATTAAGTGTTTAAAATGTGCTCCATTTGTGAGTTGACATCACTCTAATCGATGGTAGAATGCGTCTACCACATTTCTCCATGATTGTCTAGAAATTATTCGAGATTCATCGATAATTCATTGTCTCAGCTATGCAAGACTTGCTGGTTAAGTTTGGTAAACTGAATTTTTCAAGTATCTCTAATAAAAATAATCTTTAGAATTGAGATCGGGTGAACGTGGAGGCCATTCAATTCTACCTTGTCTACCAATTTGTCTCATACTCAAAGATCACAAAAATTAAATGTATGGTCAGATATAGTAGTTACTTATTCAATTCGGTCATTTTTTGTCGAGAGAAATTTAACGTCAGATAGTTGGTGTAAATGTTCGGCGATATTTAGATGAGATATATCCTGGACGATAAATTGGTAGACAAGGTAGAATTGAATGGCCTCCACGTTCACCCGATTTCAATCCTAAAGATTATTTTTATTAGGGATACTTGAAAAATTCGGTTTACAAAACTTAACCAGCAAGTCTGGCAGAGCTAAGGCAACGAATTATCAATGAATCAACGAACTATCAATTGTTACGTTTTGATGTATTTAAAAATAGTATTAAAAAATTTATTGAAACAATTTAGGCGTTGCCAGGCGTTTATGTATTTATGACCTTCCAGATTACATAAAATCATAAGTGTTACATATGGTTGAACTCGTATTGAATAGGAGATTCCAATAATGACTGAATATACAGGGTGATGTATTTGAAAAACCAAAGTTACTAATACTATAAGAAAAACGGCAAATCTGGCAACATTGTAAATATCAAATATGGAATCTCCGTATCCCAAAATAGGTGTACCTCAAATTTTGTACAATTATGATTAGCATTTTACGAGATAATTAGCCGTTTCCAGACTTTTCGGTCACTATATTTTTGTATAAGTAATATAAAAATAACCTATAAATGAGATAAGATCATATTTGTTACTTATACTCCTAGTTTATACCTAATCCTAGATTAAAAATGAAAATAAGATCATTGAAAATAGTAAAAAGTTAAATTTAATTAAATGGTTATTTAAAGATATCATAGATATCATACTCATCTTATAATATGGAAGAACCATTAGATAAAGCTTAGCTGGCGCACATGATGAAGAAATGGAGTTGTTAGAAATACTTACGAATATTATCGGTATAGGTACAGTAAAACAATAATCATAAAGATTTACTAATTGAGAATAATAATACCAAAAACAATGTCCATTAAATAAAACAGAACTTTACAACAAATTTGTTAGTGAAGTGAAGTTAGGTGTCTTTTTCCCTTCTACGCGTAATTTGACAGATTGCGTGTCAGTAAAAATAAAGGATCTTTAAATAAAAGTTCTCTTGCCTATATTTAACTTAAATACAGGCGACCTGTATTATATTCTTCTTCTTCTTGTATGACCTATCCATGGTACAATGAACGTCTGATACATAATGTTAAAAAATCGGTTCGCTTCGAGCATGACGTAGTCAAGAACGTTTCTTCATGCAATTGTATAGGAAAGACTTTTAATTATAATTTTTTCTTATATATATATATATATATATATATATATATATATATATATACATATATAATTTGGCGTTGATAAAGATGTAATTAGAAAAATGGGGAACCTAAAATTGCATTCCACACCATATCTCCTTCACGAAGCAAAAATCCTTGGCGAATTGGTTTCTAATACTCATAAAGAGTATATCGAAATAAAAGGAAAGACATTTAAGATTTGATTTCACGTATAGTGCCTCTATATATTTACACATGCTCTTAACGTGAAAACAATATTTCCTGTCCTATTAAAAGATTTCTAATTGTCGAAACCAAATTCAGATTGCATGAGTGCAACATACAGTACATACATACAGTCCTCGAAGACATACCGTCTCAGGACTAGCAACTTCAACGTGGAGTCATATGTCGCCATGTTACCTAATCCATCGGTAACTCTATAATCTTAAATAATTATAACATATTTTTAAAACTAAATGTAATTAACCATCTGTTAACGGGTTTTTACCCATATATTTACTCTTGGTGGCTACATTCATGTACTCCTAGACACTGATGATGGAACATGGTTTCCGAAAACGTTTTGTCTTTTTAACTTAGCCCGTTTGGGCCTTAAATATATACCTATTGCAAAGGATTTTTGATTAAATTTTTAATACATGGTATACAGCCAACTACAGGAACGTAGATTCCTTGTGGATTTTTAGAATATGGCTTAATTTGCCAAATGCTGCCCAAGTTAGGCCTATTCGCCTCTGTATTTCATGTGTTTGATTGTCTCTGCTTATTTTGATTTCGTGTCCCAGATATTTGTAAGTGTCTGTTTGTTGTATGGTATTATTTTCAATAGTTATATTTCTACTCATTATGAGATTTGTTATAAGTTTAGTTTTCTCAAAGTTTATCTTTAATCCTGCTCTTTCAGATAGACTTTTAAGCGAATGCATCATAGAAACTGTATCTTGCAAATTATCTGCAATTAATACAACATCATCTGCAAATCTTAGGTGACTTAATCTTTCTCCATCTATATTGATGCCCATATCTTGCCATTGAGCGCTCTTAAATATTGACTCTAGAGCTGCCGTGAACAATTTTGGTGAAATATTGTCTCCTTGTCTAACTTCTCGACCTTCGCTGAATTTTTCTGTGTCTTCGGGTAGTCGTACACTTGATGTAGCGTTCTCGTAGATGTTTTTGATTAGTGTCGTGTACCTGTAATCTATTCGGCTTTGATTTAGGCTTCCAGTATTGTTTCAAACTCTACAGAATCAAAAGCCTTCTCGTAGTCGACAAATGCAAGAACCAGTGGTATGTTGTACTCGATGCACTTTTCTATTAAGATCTTTATGTTATGCAAATGGTCATTTGTGCCATATCCTGCCCTGAAGTCTGCCTGTTCTTTGGGCTGATAGAAATCAAGTTTAGGTGTTAGCCTTTTTGTTAAGATTTTCATAAAGAGTTTGTACATATGTGTCAAGAGGCTGATGGGTCTATAATTTTCTAATTTAGTAATATCGCCTTTTTGTGTAACAAGACTATTACTGCATTGTTCCAGTCTTTTGGAATCGTACGCCGATTACCTTGGAAATATTTTATTCCATTTCCACTATGGGTAACATTTTTCCGAAAACTTTCGTGACGTACGGTAATGAAAAATGTTTAGCATTAAAATTTAAGTTTGATATTAGGGTTGTTAGTGTGTTAAAAAATAAAACTCTATTGAAGCAAATGAAATGCTTTATTAGATATACACCACTGCAATAAATACACGCTTTATTATAACAAACTGATATGACTTAATCATCATAAGTTGTACTAAAAATGGAAAAATAAAAAATATAAATAAAATACAATATCGAATTTTAACGATGACTGATCAAGAAAACGGTTCTGTTGAAAACCATCCAAAAAGATAAGATCGACATTTTTGGATGCACAACATTGTTTACAAAAACACTCTTAAAATTGACCTGCAAAACTATTGACTAGGCACACTTATATATAACAAGAAA